ACACACACACAGGCAGCGGCCGTCTGTGCCGGCCCCGCACACACAGGCAGCGGCCGTCTGTGCCGGCCCCACACGCACGCACACACACACAGGCAGCGGCCGTCTGCGCCAGCCCCACACGCATGCACACACACACAGGCAGCGGCCGTCTGCGCCGGCCCCGCACGCACAGGCAGCGGTCGTCTGTGCCGGCCCCGCACGCACACACAGACAGCGGCCGTCTGTGCCGGCCCCGCACGCACGCACACACAGGCAGCGGCCGTCTGCGCCGGCCCCACACGCACGCACGCGCACACACACACAGAGACAGCGGCCGCCTGTGCCGGCCCCAAACACACAGGCAGCAGCCGTCTGTGCCGGCCCCACATACTGACAGCAGTCACTTGAAACACTCCTGTTCCATTGCAAGGGTCATGGAGAAAGTGAGCCGCTCTCACCTTGAAGCAATTTTCATCAGGCATGATGCGCTCAGTCTTCAGCTGGTAGGCTGCTTCCAGGGTCGCTCTGACACACTGGGAGGACAAACTACCTCCAGCTGCACCTCGCTTCCTCTCACTCAGGTAAACCTCAGTTGCCTGCACACACACATCATCACTCACCAGATGCTGTAGCTGGGTACGAAACAAGAAACAGAGAGTCAACTGTCAGCTCTAGCAAGGGAGTAGCTACACTTCATTTCACAGTCACAAAGATTCAAGTCCCAAAAATTCAGTCTGACTTTCTAGTGCAGTATCAAGGGAGAGCCACATGGTCAAAGATGGCTGTTACATTTCAGAGGTTTACAAGATTGTTGTGTTTTGGAACTGAATCATTCACTTTAAGTTGAAACAAAGCGGGTTGTTTGACCTGTTCTGAAGCCAGCTTGACAGCAGGCCTGTGGCAGTTGAAGATAAAGGGCAATCAGGATTTTGTTACAAGGACAATAGAATAAGGTGTTCACACTCGGAGGCAGTAGCAGCAGTCTGGGTTCACAATGAGTTGCCCAAAATCCCAACAAGGTATTGATAGTATCGGGTTGGAAGTAGGTGGTGCTGTAACCTGACACAACAAAGGACTCAGGTTAAGAACAGCTAATCAATATCACCTGGGTGCAAGGCTAATGTATTCACATTGCCATGAAAAAGACTGCAGAGGAAATGATTTTTTGTGATGATGCTTCCCCACAAGTTCATTAAGATATAGACAGGCAGCAGGTTGTGGAATCGGGGAGAAGGGCTTGCTTGGGTCTAAGGGTCACATAGTCAAATGCTGGAAGGAGATGATCAAGGAGACACAATCTGTAGGAAGGGGCACAGTGTAGCAGCAGGTAGCCATTCTTGAAGTCATGATGTTCTGGATCTATGATCTGACATCAGAACATTATCCTTCAACTCTCCCCCAGCCTGTGCCTCCTGCCCACCTTCTGTACAGAGTGAAGTGAAACTGGCTGCATCACAAACCTCCTACCAGCCCCACTCACTCCATGAGAAACCACCTGCACTCACCTGCCGTACAATGTTCTGAATCAGTTTATCAACTGTGAAGCCAATATAGGCATGGATGGTGAACATTTCACGCAACGTGTCTTCATATTGTGTGGGCTCAATGTTCCCATCCAACAAATTCCTCACCATGTCCAGAAAGGCTGGGTAATACTCCTCCAACTCAATCTCACCTAAAGATCCAAATGTAGGAATATTTCAATATATCAAACACCACAACGCTTAGCCATATGGGAAACTGAAAACAGGGTCACAGCTTTCACCTTCAAACTGTGCTGCTATTTGATCTCAGCCAGAAGAAACGAGGCTTAGCTACAATGTTTCCTACAAATATGGAGAGATGGCGGCACAGTGGTAATGTGACCAGCAATCCAGAGACTCAGGCTAATAGCCTGACTTCCCGAGTTTAATTCCACCATGACAACTGGTGTCAATTGAAATTCAGGCTAGTCTCAATAATGGTTGCTGGAAAATTATCATAGGTTTTTGACGACCATCAATTTGGTTCACAGATGTCCTTTAGGGAAGGATACCCTTACCTGGCCTGGCCAACATGTGATTCCAGGTCTGCAACAATGTGCTTGCCAAGCTAGCTACACGGTTCAGGGCCATGAGGGATCAGTAATGAATGTTGGCCTTGCTATTAACACCAACATGCCATTGCCTGACAGCATGCCTTCCTCAGCTCACACACGTGATCTAACTGAAAGGTAGAACTGCGCTGAGGGAGCAAATGGCCTCTTCTTAACTGCACTGTTGAAATGGAAGCAAACAAAGAGAGCAGATCTTCAGAAACCGTACTTTGTTGTTTGAGCCTGAGCTCCACAGCGGGATCACTTGCTTTCTCTTTCCTCCCATCCTGTAATTGTTTCTCCTTCTCCTTCTCCATTTGATATTCCAGCAGCTGCTTCTCAGCCTGTCTGTAAATGCGCAGCAGCCGGTAGCACAGAATCTGATGCAGCCTTAGGAAAAAGTACCAATTATTATTTACAAAGAAGAGATTGTAGACGTCATCCAGGTTCTTCTGATATTCTGCCACTTGGTCTCGCAGGTCAAGCCGCTCCTCAGCCACGCTGCTCTGTGGAGAAGCTGTACCTTTCTGCCCAGTATCTGCATTGCTGCCCTGACTGTGCCGAGGAACACTCTCCATCTCATCGTCTGTTGAATCCTCAGATTCACTCAGTTCACCACGCTGGGTAAAGAACAGGTCGGGCACAAAATGGTAGATGATACGCTTGATGTGATCCTTGTCCTCCTTCTGAATGGTTGGCTGTCGCTTCACGTGATAAATAATCAGAGATGCAGCATCCTCCATAATCTGTTTATCCTCATAGACGAACATCAGGTGGGGGCCGCTGACACCTGGACAGCCCTCCTCGGAATTCTGCTCTTGACGCTACGTTAGAAGAAAGGGTAAGGTTAATACCCCACGTCTTCACATTTGTACCAAACCTAAAAGTACACAATGCTTGCAGTTCCAGACCAGCCAGCCCCAACTGGATCTCATCCGACTAACCCTAAACCACCAGGATGAAGGTCTACCTTAACCAGTCCCAACTGACAGAGAAATCTTTCCAACCTGATTGCAATCATGGAAATTATTCGTCCAATGAAGATAAAAAGAAAAACTGAAATAGTGCCTGTTTCTATCTTTCACGTCTTGTTGCTACTGTCAAACTCTCCCTTAGACCCATTCTGTGTGCTGACACAAACGTGAAAACAGTGACAGATTAAAAATAATTAGAGTAGAACCGTAGAGAGCTCACAGTGCGGAAGGAGGCCATTTGGCCATTGAGTCTGCACTGAACAGCATCCCACCCAGACCCAGCCCCCTACCGCATCCAGTAACCCCACATCTTTCATAGCTAATCCACCCAGCATACATATCCCTGAACATTAGAGATAATTTCAGCATGGCTAATCCACCTAACCTACACATCTTTGGACCGTGGGAGGTAATGGGGGCACCCTGTGGAAATCCAAGCAGACACAGGGTGAGCACGCAAACTCCACACACAGACGGTCACCCGAGGGGAATCGAATCCAGGTCCCTGGTGTTGTGAGGCAGTGCTAATGACTGAGCTACCACCATGTCTCTCCTAATTGAATCAAATTATCAGCAATCATACAAGTTCCTTCAGGTGCTTGCATTATTTCTTAAGGGCACTAATCCATCACTGTGGCCTGTGTCTAGGTCTCTGCCTCATGCCAATGACAATAACCACGAGTAAATTAATGAAGGACCATGCTGAGCATTGCTCTTATCACACCTCTCCAGGCTCTTTTTACAAAACCCGCACTTAGCCAGTAAACCGTGGGTCTATTGTTAGGGAAATGTCAGGTTACCTCATCATAAACACTCTCAATCTCATTCAACAAACTCTTGGAGCGTAGTGCCTTGGTGTCATTCTGCTTAAAGTTAACCCCCTGGTGATCCAGCGATTTCAGGTAGGATTTCTCATACTGCTCCCGCCAGATCTTGTTGAATCCTTGTTGTGCCTCCCGCCATTCTTCTTCCTTGGCTTTCAATCTGTAACAATTTAAATTTAATAAAACTTTCAGATCTGTAGCTCAGTTACAAACCTTTACACTGTGAGCTGTGATTTGAGGAATGAGCTTTGCAAAGAACAGTGAATTGCTGCATGTGCAAGCTTTTGTTCACTCTTTGTGCTGAATCACCAAGAGAAATAGGTGAAATACCAAACCCAAGATCCCCAAAACACCCAAACACCATCTCCCCAACTCTCACTTAAAACAGGCATGCAATCTGGAAAGCTATGACGATATTTCAAACTGTGCCATCCAATGGATTCAGTTGACAAAATCTGCGGGATCCTTAAGAAAATAACCAGCTCCAACCATCGTCATCCCAAAGAAACATTGCTGCCAGCTACTAATCTGAATTTAGGACTTTGAAATCTTTTTATTCAACCTGTTCAGAGATGTTATGATACAGCTCTAGAAAAAGTGGGAGTTGAACCCGAGCCTCTGAACTCAGAGATAGGGACAGTACCACTGTGCCATAAGGGATCCATTAGGACTTTTATTCACACTAATAGTGAGGGCACCATGCTTGCTACTAAATGTGTGACCAAGGGATTTTCAGGTGAAGTGATATGGATGTAAGAGAGGCAACTGTGTCATACTGGATTGCAGTCCAGGCCAGACAGAATCAGTTTCACCAAGATCTATAAACGGATTAGAACAGGAGGCTTAGCAGATCAAAAAAAGGCAAAGACCTGCAGATGCTGGAAATCTGAAAACAAAAACAGAAATCACTGCAGAAACTCAGCAGGTCTGGCAGCATCTACTTCGGGTCCAGTGACCCTTCTTCAGAGCCATTCAGAAACATTGACTCTGCTTTATCTCCAAAGATGCTGCGTTGCTCTAGCTATTTCAGTTTTTGTTTGTGCCCGAGTAGGTTGCTCCACAGTGAGTTGGATCAGGCAGCACAAGCCAATGGACTCATTGGATTCTGCAGCATTTTGTACCCAGAAGGTTTAATTAGTGACTGAGAGTTAATGGTACATCTCATATTAAATTTCACCTTTTCAGCACAACAGGGACAGCTGTGGCCGGATTTTTCTTAAGTCCATCAATTATTTCGGGTGCTTTATCTCCGTAAATACGATAGATGGCTCTGCGGTGGATGACCTCTGATGTCCCTCCCAGACAGTTATCTAGACGATATTTATCCTGATCCTCCGGAGACATCCGTGTTAGTTTTTTCTGGACGCTCTCAAGCACACGAATTGTAGCAAGGTTGGTTTCCAGGACAACATCAAGCTATTAGTGAAGAAACAACCAAAAGTGGACAGCCAATGGTGAATTAGAGCAGAGTATCCACTCGAACACACTCTTCTCCAAACCCAACCCCAGATTAACAAAGCCCGCTCTTAAACACAAACCAATCACAGGGCAACCATTGCAACCTTCCCTAAACCAATCCCCACAGGAAATAACCTAACCACTTCCCTCAGCTAAGCCATGTACTAGCATCAATTGAAAGCTAGTTCTGGTGAAGGATTATGTCTGAAACATTTAATATTGTTCAAAGCTCCTGTGACTGACTTATTGCAATA